GTAACTCAGCTCTGATGACCGCAGCCACCTCCTCATGAATGATCTGTCGAATCTCCTCATCGCTAGTTCCGGCATCCTCCGGCATGTGACGTGTCCTCACCATGATCAACCTCTGAAATACAACATGCGATAATTAGAATTTACTCGAACACTCTTACATTCGACAATCCACCTCTCCTTGATTCTTGGTATCCCAAGATTCTTATTTGGACTGTGTACCGCACCGGTGCTTCCGGTAGTACGGGCCCAATACTACTGTCCGCACCGTCTCAGTACACACCCCAAATCTTCCTCTTCGGATCCCAATCCCCAAGTACTCTATTATACTTAAATCACTCTGTAACAGGTCTCACACAAAGTCCTAGCTGCTACCTAATTACTCTCAGCATCTCATAGCAGCTCACCCCTCCCTAGGCTAAGGCATCACAAAACAGGCCACTCTAGTCCTATTCGCAATACCTAGCCTACTCTAGCATGCAAATGCATCACATTAATAATAATTATCACATAATATAAAGGTATTTTGGGAATTCACCGTTCGGGCGCTGGCTGATCGTACACACGTTTCTTCCTGGAAAATCTTTTACTCTTAGAAAACTTTGGTTTTATTTTGAAATATCACTTCAATTCCTCAGTTTGAGTTCAAATACCCCCGAAGGTGTACCCGAATCCCTCAAACCTGGCTCTGATACCATTTGTAACATCCCCCTCTAGCACGTATCACAATATTGTCCGCTTTGGGCCACTCGGCACGAGGACTTCCCAGGGGGTCACCCATCCCGGTACTACTCCCGCCCGAGCACGCTTAACTGCAGAGTTCTTATGAGATCTGCTGCCCTCACGGCTTTAAAACGCGTTGTGATAGGGAAGGTATCCACACCTTATAAGTGAAAGTGGGTTAGATCTGATCCCACATCGGCTGGGAAGGAGAACTAAGCATTCCTTATAAAGGGGTGTGGATACCTTCTTTGTCACAACGCGTTTTAAAGCTGTGAGGGCAGCAGATCCCATAAGAACTCTGCAGTTAAGCGTGCTCGGGCGGGAGTAGTACCGGGATGGGTGACCCCCTGGGAAGTCCTCGTGCCGAGTGGCCCAAAGCGGACAATATTGTGATACGTGCCAGAGGGGGGTGTTACAAATGGTATCAGAGCTAGGGCACGGGTCGATGTGTTCGACGGGGACGTCGAACCCTATAATGGGGGGTGAAAGTGGGTTAGATCTGATCCCACATCGGCTGGGAAGGAGAACTAAGCATTCCTTATAAAGGGGTGTGGATACCTTCTTTGTCACAACGCGTTTTAAAGCCGTGAGGGCAGCAGATCCCATAAGAACTCTGCAGTTAAGCGTGCTCGGGTGGGAGTAGTACCGGGATGGGTGACCCCCTGGGAAGTCCTCATGCCGAGTGGCCCAAAGCGGACAATATTGTGATACGTGTCAGAGGGGGGTGTTACAGGTATATTTGCTCCTTAGCATATCTCCCCACAACACAAAGCAACTCACTAGTAACATACCCTTTCAAGAAGCAACCATCAATTCCAATCACTGTCACACCCCCGAACCAGACGGCGGAAACGTCCGGGGGCTGTCGTGACTCAATTGAATACCATAACATTGTATATATATATGAAACGTAACAACATTCGTCACCATGCATTAATATAGTACAACCAGTAAAGTTTACATGAAGTACCTTGTTTAAACATTACATTCCCAAAAATAAATTGTTCGTTTCGTACATAAATAAACTGCAAGCCATCACTGAATATGATTTCCTTTGATTCACTGATTCCCTGAGAATACAAGTATTTTGAAAAACGTCAACATATGAAATGTTGGTGAGTTCATAAGTAGTGTTTGAAATCCAATGTTTTGTATTGTTTGAAAACCACCAAAAAATCCGATATTTTCTGAAAATAGTATAGTCAAAAAGGTGTGAAGATCCATAGGTATGCTTGTTTGTTTCTATACTTGTAAAAATTGTTCATTAAAATTGTATGCATTCCGAATCCGTATGTATTGAAAAACCCTAGGAAAACCCGATGTTTTCCTAATTCTTTGAATTACATGAATTTACATTGAAACCATTGCCACGCGTGAAGTTATCAATACCAGGCGACGTTGGATTATTTTTGAGCATGATTATTTGCTACAAACACGCGTTACACAAACGACTAGTCTATAGCAATACTAACGATCCCGTAGGCGTCGTCCGTACTAATCATGTTATCCAACCGCCCTGACTACGTGTAGTCCCACATCCGAAGAGAAAGAGGACACGAAGGCCTCGATGACTCCATTAGCCGGTTGGGGATAAAAAGGTACGAGGGGTCCCAGACCCGCCTCGTATAAAAAGGTAAACTCTACTAGCAATACCAAAGGACCCTTGGGGACCAGTAGTATACAAGCCATTGAAAGTCCTTTTACGTTGTGTTGGATCGGTAAAACCCAACACTTCGTAAGATAGAGGTCTCCGGGCCTTAAGATCAGGTCATTGGGCTAGCTAGGCTCAACAAACAAGATTTTACACTTTTGGGGCCCAAAGATGGTGCGTAGACGTCTGTGCACACTCGCATGTATATTGAATTCCCAAACGTTATTAGTATGAATCGTAGTGTCGTAGTGTCATAGTGTCGTCGTGTTAGTAGTTTCGGATTTTTATTGGTTCGAGACCGAACCAATTCGTTTAACAACGACTTTTGGTGTTGTAATGTATTGTATTTCATCGATAGTCGCGGTGCCATCATTTGGTCAAATTGCATGTATTGAATTAGCCTTGAAAGTTTTCTGTTTTCAGCCCCTCATTGTTTGTAAAATTTACTTTTTCAACCCTTTATTTAAATACTTTCCGGTTTGGTCCTTAAATCAATTTTCTTGACATTTTAACACCAAAAATTATTGAAATTAATATTTTTCAGCATAATTTTCATAGAAAACAGCTTAAGTCCCTGAAATTTTAGTTTTCTCGGTTATAACCCTTCTTTTTCGCAATTTTGACAATTTTGGCCCAAATTGTAAAATTTTGCAACTTTGGTCCTTTTTAAATTTAAAAAGCATTTTAAACCTTTGAAAAGGACTTGGAACACTTATAGTCCACTTTTTTACAGAAAAACACAGTTTTGGCCCTCCAAAACAGAAAATTTCACATAATGGGCCTCATTGGACCGAAAATGTCATTTTTAGCCCATTAAGCTTGAAATCTATGTTTTTAATTCTCTAAATGAGTATATTTCCAGAAATGGTTTTATTGAAACTGTTTTGACACACCTTATCCATCAGAATTCGTGATATGTCAATTTGGGCCCTTAATTTTGTATTTTTCACATTTTAGGTCCAAAAATTGTGTTTTTAGCCCAAAGAAATTATTACTAAACCACTTAGCTATTTTTCTAGAAACACTTAGTATGTAGAAATATAGTAGAGGCTAAAATCATTTAACATAAGGTATATCTCGGTTTTGAGGGGTTTTATGGCTAAATCCAACATTATAACTCACAAAAGCACACATATAAGCATGGAAATCATACAAAGCATACAAAACACATATAGATCTACACTTTCACTTGTATTCCCCCCCCCCCCCCAAAAAAAAAAAAATAGGGGGTATGAAGCTCACCTTGTTTGAAGCTTTCGGTTTTTGAGGAAAAGAATGGAAGAAATGAAGTGATGTTTCACTCTAGCACCCTTTGATGATGAATTCGAGTTTATGGAGTTCTAAGACACAAGTTTATGATTTCATGAGAGTTAAGAGGAGATTTTTGAAGACAAGAAAGAGTCCAAAGCATGGATCCAAGCATTAACTTACCTAGATAATGATTTTGGTGATGGATTCTCCTTGTGAAGCTCTTGATTCACGAAAATTTTGAAGGAGGAGGGAGGAATGCTCTTCAAGACTTAGAGAGATTGGAATTGAATTTTTGTGATGTGTGTGTATGTATCCTCGGCCGAGAGTGAGAGGGAGAGGGAAGAAGAGATGACCTTTGAAGTGATATGCATGGAGATATGGGATAAGTTGCATGGATATCCAAAAGACAATAATGAAGTGGCAAAACAAAGTCAACTCTCTTCCTTTTCTTGGGTTTGGGCCTTGGGCCGAGATTTTTGGAAGGGAAAAGAAAAATTTTGGGCCCTTGATTCTAAGCCCAATGTTAGAGTTAATTTGGGTATGTTTTAAGTCTAAAAGAATGTGGTAGGATTTTTATATTTTTATTGGGCTAGTTTAGGTTATTCATGTATCAAGGCTTTTAATTCATTTCATTCTAGGCCCAACATGGCCCAAAATGTTGAAATAAATTAGTGTGGGTCCAATTAGAGCCCAATTAGGGTTCTAAGCCCATGATAGTCTAATTGGAAGCTTATTGGTCCATTTGGATTCAATAAGGAAGTCCTAGTCCAAAATGGACTTAAACAAGGACTTCTAGGGTCTCTAATTGTTTGATGACTATTTGTAGTACTTGTATGATGCCTTTGATTGGAGTTTTTGATGTCATAATAGTAGGTGTCAATCATGTTCTTAAGTTTTGGATTCACATTAACTTGAGTGTATAGATTACATAACACAAAATTTCCAGTTGTGACAATCACCTTCGTGCACCCTTCTAACCACCCCTTCTTTACACCATCAAAACAAACATAAAACTTACTAAAGTGATTAGTTCCATCTGGCATTGTAAGAACATCCATGCTAACTTTTGAACTAGGGTTGGATCTTCTAATTTCGTCTCCATAAGACCAGAGCTTAGCATAATGCTCAATAAGGGCATCTTCAATAATATTCATAGCATACTGTTTGGCCCTTCTACAATGACTAATACTGACTTCAATACCAAATTTCTTGATGACCTCCAATCGTAGTTGCCTAACTGTCAGTTTCTGTCTATGCAAAATCTCCTTGGTGTAGTGGCTACCAATCCATCTGTAATTGACAATTGAACCCAATTTGTAGTTCCTAGCACATTAATACTCACTTTTTAAATATTTGATTTGAAAACTATGTTTTGTACTCATCCAACTTGCCCATAGCCTGAAAGTACAAGCACCTTTACAACACAATACTAGAAGCCTCTTACTGTCATTCTTTTCGAACCATAGTTGATATCCATTTTTAACAGCATAATTACATAACATGTTCTTAAGTTGTTTTGGATCCTCAAATCTCATGCCTAAAATTGGTTCTTTCTTCTTCCAGTGTACATGAGGATTAAAGATAGGATGTTCCTCAAGTACATCATGGTCCAATTCCTCACTATTATCTATCTCTTCAATCTTTTTCTCTTCTCCACCTTCCAGGCATAACTTGTTAAGAAACTCATCGTCCTTAGTCTTGTTTAGTGGGGTACAGTATTCCCCATTGATTTCATCATCCAAACCAGCATCAAACATATAGGTTGGTTCAAGATCGGGGATTCCTTGTGCAGTTTCTTTGTCATCCCCCAGGATCACTGAACCACTTTCATCACTTTCTTCATCAAACCAGTCCTCAAATCCTTCCCCAGTATGATCTAAATACAGTTTTATTGGCCTTTTAGGTTATTGATAAGCAACATCAATAAACACTTGATAATTCATTTCGTTAGTTATTACCCTAAGACCATTTGCCATAGTGAGATCACGTGCTAAATAATAAAGTTTCTCAAAAGGTTCTCCAACAAATCTTTCTAGAAATTCACAACACCCATGTAAATCCATTCCAGAGAAATCATGATCAGTAAACATAAACGTTTTACCTCCAATATATCTATGTGGGTGTCTTATAAAAACACCGTTAAAGTGTAAACGCACTTTCAAGGAAATAGGATCTGGGTTCACCATGAACTTTAACTAGAAAAGAACCGGATGAAGTTTAACTACAAAAGAACCCTAAACAAGAGAAAACTTACAGAAATAAGAGAGAAAAGCCTTAGAATCTTCAACACTTCAACACGATTTTGATAACCGACTGGAGTAAAATCATTTTTTGAATAGTTATACAAAGGCGTTGACATGTCATTGATGAAATATCATTTAATTGAAGAAATCTAAAATCTAAAGACCATGTCACATTATATTACCGGGTAACCGGCTTTAATGGTATAAACGACAAGTAATTTGTCACTTTAGTGAGGTAAAAAGTACGAAAATTAATTGAACGACCCTTTAAAACCAAACGGAAAACATCATTGTGCTTCTATGTCAATAATCCATGATTTTTATGCATTTGCTTTTTTTTTTTCTAATGTGTATCGTCCGTACAATGGTTCTTCATCTTGTTTTTCTTCTATGAGATGCATATCTTTAATTTATAACGGTTAAACTCATGTAAAATCATTAATCTATCCTGATTTTTATATTTTATTATCAATTATCAATTTCATTATAACTATTATTGTTATTATTGCACGTGGATGAAACGTATGAATAGAAATACCTTTTTATAGGGACGAAAACGTTAAAAACATTTAAAAATAAATAAAAAATAATTATGAAACCACAGGGAAGAAAATATAACCTACCATTAAATATAGAATAATCTTCATAAATGGCCCCTATGGTTTCCCATAATATCATGTTTCATCCTTAACTTTTTTCGGTCACATAGAAGGTCCTTGTAGTTTTAAAACTTTTCATAGACAGTCCCTTTATCTCACTCTATCAATTTTGATACGTTAAGTCACAAGTCACAACATGTGCAAGGGCAAAATCGTCATTTACAAACCACAGGGACCATTCATCAATGCTTGTAAAATACAAGGTTTCTACTGCAATTGGTTTTTAAAGCTTCCTCTAATGCTTCAGCCTGATCAAAACTAATTTTAAACGTCACCATTGTTATTCCATCTTTTCCTGTATCATAATCTTGCTTTATTTCTTCAGCTTTAAACGCCTGAAGCTAAATAAAATCACCAAAAACAAAAGTTCAATTAATATATTATATGATATATTAACCATTTAAACTAGTTATTTATTTATCTATCTATTTATTCAGTCTTACCTGATGGTAAACAACCCCCAAAAGGTCAAAACTAACCTCAACACCCATACGAACCTGAAAGAATAAAATGTTTTCCAAATATTATTTATTTGTTTATTTTATAAAATCATGAAAATTAGTGGAAAAGTAATTACTTGAGATTTTATAAGTCGTGTAGGAGCATTTTTCAAGCATTCTGTTGCTACTCCACCATAGGCCCTAACTAAACCTCCAGTTCCTAATTTGATCCCTCCAAAGTGCCTAAAAAATAAACAACTTTTTTATTAATTTCTTCACTTAAAATTTATAGAAATTTTTATAAATTTTACCTAATGACAACAACCATTATTCGATCTAATCCAGAATTTTCAATTGCAGAATGAATTGGTTTGCCAGCTGTACCAGATGGTTCACCATCATCGTTACTTCTATACTGGTTTCCAACCTAGAAAGCAAGGTTGATTATTTATAAAGAAAAAACATAATAAAAAAATAGATTATGATAAATGAAAACACAGATATATATACCTTATAAGCCCAGCAATTATGAGTTGCACGAGGATCTTGAACCTAATGAGTCATGATTCATGAAGATTTAGCTTAAAGTTGTCATACAATTAAGGTGAAAGAAAGTCTTAATTTGATTTTGGAGGTGTAAGTTTGTAACACCCCAACCTAAAGCAGATTAAGCCAAAATTATCTCGAAATGATTTTAAAATTCATAATCACTAGTATAAAATTACAGACATAGGTTTGATTCAGTAATTATTTTGAACATCTCCGATAAGCATAATACTGATAAGTTAGATTATGTTTTTAAGGTATTGTTTAGATTGAAGATGTGTTTTCTAACACGAAATGCTTCTACTTGATATTTTGCAACAGTTAGATTCGATTATCTATGTTTTTTGCTTGATACGAGACAAATTCTCGTAATTTTAGTTGTATCAAGCATTAACTTTTCGATTATCACTGAATCAAAAACAGAAAACTGGCTAATCGATGTTATATACTGGAGCGAGAGAAATACCAGATGCGTATACCTCGGAAAGGAAAGATTGGGCTGAGCGCTCGTCGGGGATGTGGCCGGCAATAGCGATGAATTTGCTTTTCTTAATATCACGTTCTAAACTGACTCTCTCTGCAATCGTCGTGAAAGCACCACCGCCGGTAGAGGTAGCGGCGACGCTGCTACTGCTACTGCTGCTGGTGGCGGTGACCATGGATCTGAGAAGGAAGAGAGAAGAGGAGATCCGATGCTGGTGGTGGTAGCAATGGTAGGTTGATATCAAATTCGAAACCTGCATTTGGGGACACCAGTTCTGATTGGAATTTTGAAATGAAATCCCTTCTCTTCGATTTTCAATCTCTTTCACGTGTCGTGTGTAACAAAGAAAAAAAAGATCAAGGTAAATTACACCTATCGTCCCTCGTGGATATATCAGAAAGCGTGTTTAGTCCCTATTATCAAAAATTAACTCGGACCGTCCCTCGAGTTGTTTTTTCTTGCACGCTTAGTCCCTCCGTACATAAAAAGACCATTTTGCCCTTATTTATTTATTTTTTGATTTTTTTCTATTTATTTGTTGTTTATTAATTATTTATTAATTTGTTTATTATAAAAAATAAAGAAATACTCTTACAACTCTTTCTTTTCTCTATTACTCTTTTAGGAACCTCCCAGTAACCAACATTCATCGCCATCGGGAACCACCATCCACCGTCACCATAAATCACCGTTCACCGCCATTGGAGACCACCATCCAACGTCGATTACCATCGGTTCTCTCCATATCTCTCTCTCTCTCTCTCTCTGACCTTTCTCACTTGTCATTATCCCCTCTCAAAACCTCTGGTACCTTCACCTATGACCGATAATACCTCCTGAACAACCATCATTTGACTACCACTAAAAAACACCATTCACCACCACCTAACAAAACCAAAACAAACCTGGAATCAACACCAAAAAGACAATGGAGCTCGATCTGAAACCCTAGGCTATTTCTGAAAACCTAGGCGGCGTTTGTTCGAAACTTAGGCAATAGGGATCTGGAGAGACGAAGATGTTCCTGAGATAGTGAAGGTTCAAAACAACTCACCTCTGAGACAAACGGTGTACATCACACTTCCAGATCTATGAGCTTTGACGAACTACCATCTTCGTCTCCAGATTTCAGCTCCAGTGAACCACTGATAAACCCCAATCTAGCACCACCATTTTCGAAATGATGGCTAACAAACCCAATTCTATAAACGTTCATCGGCAGATCTTAGTGGTTCATAGACGTTTTTCCACAGATAAACTATCTGATTATCACCGTAAATTGGTTCTACAAAGGCAACAATTAAAAGGTTTAATTGATAATGTTAATTCGTTCATTTTTTTTATTGTTGATTGCGATGTGTAACGACCCAATTTTCATGTCCAAAAATTTCATTTGAAAATATTACTTTTAGAAAACATTAATAAATAAAAACATTGTTTGATCACGCCATAACACATCGCAAACCATGTTTTAATAATCAAACCATACAACCCATCAAATATCAGAGTACAATCCTAGTGAATCTCGTAAATGCGGAAACCGAAGAGTGTGTGTGTGACATGCTGCTACCGTGTCGGCTCCTTTCCCCTAGCTGAGGAGGTACCTGAAACCAAAACTGAAACCGTAAGCACAAAGCTTAGTGAGCTCCCCCATGATACCCCATACCATACAGCATATAACAAATAACATGCAATTAGGAGATACGGGCCCCGCCCACACTCGTGAAGATACGGGCCCCGCCCACACCTCACTTTCTGAGAGATACGGGCCCCGCCCACACTCGTGAAGATACGGGCCCCGCCCACACCTCACTTTCTGAGAGATACGGGCCCCGCCCACACTTCGCTACCTAGGAGATACGGGCCTAGCCCACACTCCATTCTCGGAGGGATACGGGCCTCGCCCACACCCAACCGTCAACACATATCATACAAGTATCACGCAGACAACAAGTGTAAATAGTTCTATCATACTGGTATATATCACAATCAACTCGACTAATAGATACGGGCTCGGCCCACACTATAATACTATCGTCTCATCTATACGGGCCGGCCTTGGTGCCTTAGACCCGTTACTACTGAAAGGAAACTCACCTCGAAATAGCTGCTGGTCTGTGTGGGAATTGATCACCTACTACTGCTGCTGCTGCTCCGGAAACTCCCCGGCTGTAATTCCCACAATATACTTAATCATACACTGCTAACTGTCCTTGGGTAAAAAGACCATTTTACCCCTGGTCTAGCCCTAAGTCAAATCGAAGTCAACTTTTAGTTGACCCGACTCGCCGAGTGGATCTCCACTCGCCGAGTCCCTAGCAAACTATTGTCCTGGGTCCCTGATTCTACTCGTCGAGTTGGGCTATGACTCGACGAGTTCATCTTCTAAACTGTCATTCAACTCCTTCATCCTACTCGCCGAGTTGTATGAACAACTCGTCGAGTTCATCTTCATCCGAAGAACACATATGCTAAGACTCGCCGAGTTGTATGAACAACTCGCCGAGTCTGTTCTTGATCTATGAAGATTGCCTTGGACTCGCCGAGTCAGGCATTGACTCGCCGAGTCCTATCATGAGTGAGTCCAGCTTTCAACTCACCGAGTCACCCCCTGTGACTCACGGCTCAACTCGATACGTCTAAAAGGGACCAATTCGGTGACTCGCGAGCCGACTCGCCGAGTCACATGAACGACTCGCCGAGTCGTCGCCATGCATC